CGTTGGCGCTGGGGTCCGGCTCCGAGGCTGCCTTGGGGTCGGGCTTGGGGGGATCGGCCACCATGGCGAGGCGGGCAAGGCGGGCGCGCGGAGCTCCTGGGCGCCCGGGGCTGTGGTGAGTGCGGTCCTTCCCGCCACGCGGAGGCCCTTAAGGCGCAGGGGAGGTGCGCCACAGCGCCCCGCGGCAGCCACGCGGGGAAGCGCCCCGGAGTCAGGCAGGGTGAACTCCCGGGCTCCGCCAGGTCTTTTTCAGTCCTCTCCTGGGCGGAGCCCTGGGGCCCCCTGCGCCTTCCCTGCTCTGGGTGCGCGCGCGTGCGCGTGCGTGTGGGTATGTGCGCGCGCGCGCGTGCAATGCCTGAGTGTAGAGAGTGAGTTGAGAGCGTGTGCTTTTGTTTCTTGGACTCTGGCTTTTGGAGGATCAGAGTACCAGCACTAAATAACAAAGCACCACCAATTAAAACCAAATGTGTGGCTGGCCTGAAACCCCAGCTACTAGGGACGCTGAGATCTGGAGCTGGATGGAGGTGAGGCCCAGATGGTAGAGCAGAGTGCCCGCTATGCAAAAAGAAGGGCAGCAAGTGTGACGAACTGAGTTCACACACACCAGTGCCGCGCGTGCGCGCGCGCACACACACACACACACATATTCAAGAGGGAAAATGATGAAAATGAGGCTGAAGCAGAGATAGGAGCCCGACCAAGAGGGTGTGGCAGAAGTCAATAAAAAGGGGATGGGGTATAGTTCAGGAACAGAGCCTTCTGCATTTATTGTGACAGAATATTTATCAGGCATTGTGGAATGTGTCTGAAATTCCAGCAGGAGGAGGAGGAGGAGGCAGGAGGATCAGGAGTTTGAGGCCAGCTTAGCAAGACTTAAAAACAAAATATAGCCAGGCGCTGGCAGCTCATACCTACTCAGGAGGCTGAGAGATGAGGATCAAGACATGAGACTCCCATCTCCAATTAACTACCAGAAAGCTGGAAGTGGAGCTGTGGCTCAAGTGGTGGAGAGCTACCCTTGAGTGAAAAAGCTTAGGGACAGAGCCTAGACCTTGAGTTCAAGCCCCAGGGCCAGCACACATTCTTACACTGGATCACACAGACTTGAATAAAAATCAGAATGGCGTTACTCAGAATGGTGCACATGAGCAAACCTAAGTTGTGATCTGACTTCCTGAGAAATCATGAAGAGGGTGAGATTTCTCAAAAAGGCCAGTTTCAGTGGACCAGGAAGTTTCATCAGGTTTAATCCTCAATCCTTTAATTGCAACAAAAAGTAACATGTGAGGCTCTGCCTTAAACCAAATATGTATCTATTGTTCTATCTCACAAGGAAAGTAACTGTGAAATCATAACTCTTCAAAGCTTTCCTTTCTTCAAACCAATCTGAGGCTGGGGATGAGGCTGAGTGCCCATCACTTGCTTGCCTGGCACGCATGACAAAGCCCTGCTTCCATTCCCAGTGCCAAGGAGAAAAAAGCCTTTCCACTTTCCTGAATCAATGCTCATTCTGTGTCATGGAATGATAAGTTGCCTGGTTGTAGCATCACAACATAAAACCAACTAGGATTGCTGAACCAAGTCGGATATGGCAGTTCATGCCTGTAATCCCAGCAATGCTGGTGGGGAGAAAGGGAGTGGGACACTAAGGTAAAAGGATCTAGAGTTTAAGCTAACCTGGGCTACATAGCAAAATCCTGACACCCTCCCTCCCCCCCTCAATAAAAAGAAAGGAAGAAGAAGGGAAGGAAGGAAAAGAAGGGAAAGGAAGAAAAGGGAGAGAAGGAGGTGGGGGGGGGAGAAGCAGTGGATCTTTGGGCCATCTATGCCACTTCCCACCCTGGCCTGGGCAGAGCCAAAGCAAGCAACTGGAGAAGGGGCCGCTCTGCCCTTCCTTACTCCGCAATTACTTTTTTTTTTTTTTTTGGTCAGCCATGGGGCTTGAACTCTGGGCCTGGGCGCTGTCCCTCAGCTCTTCAGCTCAAGGCGAGCGCTCTACCACTTGAGCTACAGTGCCACTTCCGGTTTTCTGGTGGTTTATTGGAGATAGGAGTCTCACGGTCTCTCCTGCCCGGGCTGGCTTTGAACCGCGATCCTCAGATCTCAGCCTCCTGAGTAGCTAGGATTACAGGCGCGAGCCACCAGCGCCTGGCCGCAATTACTTTTTTAAGGGCTGGCTTGTCTGATTCCCAGAAGGCCTCCCCCAGATGCAGTGGCCCTGGAATTTTTACCTGTTGTCACTCAGGTTTCTGGGCCTTTGGGGCCAAGACCTGGGGTGTTAGGTGCTGCCTTCCCTGCCTTCCCCCAGGTCTTGACAAAGCCAGGCTCCTACCACCACCCCAGGACCAAGCCTGGGACCCACCAGTGCCAGAAGACTCAGGTGACCTGGATAGAAAGACATTTAAGCTCATGCCTGTAATCCCAGCTACTGAGGGGGCTGACATGTGAGGATCGTGGTTTGAAGCCAGCCTAGGTGAAGCTCCCAAGACTTTTAATTCCAATGAGCCAGCAGAAAACCACAAGTGGGGGCTGGGAAGGTGGCTCAGTGGTAGAGCGCTTGCCTTGCTATGCCTGAGGCCCTGGGTTCGATTCCTCAGCACCACATAAGCAAAAAGAAAAAAGCCGGAAGTGGCGCTGTGGCTCAAGTGGTAGAGCGCTAGCCTTGAGCTGAAGAGCTGAGGCACAGCACCCAGGCCCCACGACCAGACCCAAAAAAAAACAAAAAAACAAAAACAAAAAAAACCACAAGTGAAGGTGTAGCCCTGAATTCAAGCCCCAGTACTGGCACAAAAAATTAAAAAGCCACACACCAGTGTCACAGGCCTGTAATGCTAGCCACTCAGAAGACTGAAATCAGAGGATCAAGGTGTGAGGTCAGCCCAACTAACCAGCAAAATGCCAGACTGGAGGTGTGGCTCATGTGGTAGAGCTCCAGTCTTGAATGAAAAAATCCAACTGAGAGAATGAGGCCCTGAGTTCTCAGTTTAAAAAAACCAAGCCAGGGCTGGGAAGGTGGCTCAGTGGTAGAGCACTTGCCTTGCATGCATGAGGCCCTGGGTTCAACTCCTCAGCACTACATAAGCAAAAAGAAAAAAGCCGGAAGTGGCGCTGTGGCTCAAGTGGTAGAGCACTAGCCTTGAGCTGAAGAGCTGAAGGACAGCGCTCAGGCCCCGAGTTCAGGCCCCACGACCAGACCTCCCCCCCCCCGAAAAAAAAAACCCAAGCCAAACCAGGAGCTCCTCTGTCAGCACAAATGGGGAAACTGAGTCCCTATGACCCATAGATACTTCATGAAAGTACAACAGAATCTAAAAAGGCTGAAGATTTTAGGTGTCCAGCTGCCAAAACCCTGGAAGGTGAGACATTGAGATGCACATGGAGAGACATCAACTCATATTCCACACAGCTCTTCCCTTCCCCCTTTCCTGTTTTTTCCCAAGATAATATCTGGCCAGGTTGTCCGGACTGGCCTTGAACTCTTAGAATCGAGTGATTCTCCTACCTTAGCCTTCCCATAGTGAGGACTGTAAGCATTTATCATCGGGCCTGGCTATTTTAATTAACTTACTGTTTAGGCAATTATATTTATATGGTTCAATTATAATTAAAATTAATTATGTTACTTAATTGTAATTATATAGTCAAATTAATTTAGTTATTTAATTTCTGCTGTCCTGAGGATTGAAATCAAGACCTCATCCTTGCTAAGCAAGTACTTTACTACTTGAGCCACATGTCCAGCCTTTACTTATTTATTTATTGCCAGTTCTGGGGCTTAAACTCACCCTGGGAGCTGTCTCTGAGCCTCTTTGTGTTCAAGACTAGCACCCTACCACTTGAGCCACAGTGCCACTTGCAGAATTTCTTTTTTTTTCCAGTCCTGAGGCTTGAATTCAGGGTCTGGGCACTGTCTCTGGGCTTCTTTTGCTCAAGACTAGTACTCTACCACCTGAGCCATAGTGATGCTTCTGGCTTTTTCTGTTACTGTGGTACTGACGAATTGAACCTAGGGCTTCACGCATGCTAGGCAAACACTCTACCACTAAGCCACACTCCCAGCCCATTTCCAGCTTTTTCTGAGTAGTTTATTGGAGATGAGTCGAGTCTCATGAACTTTCTTGCCTGGGCTGGCTTTGAACCACAATCCTCAGATCTCAGCTTCCTGAGTAGCTAAGATTGCAGGTGTGGGACACTGGTGCTCGGCCTTAAATTTTATTTTTGAAAGCTTTATTATCTTAGATTAACTTCTGAGGGGTCATGATGGGGACATGATGGGGTCATGTATACCCTCCCTCCTTGCCATGCCAAGGGACAAGGCCTGTGGGCAGACTTGGCATGGTCGACAGAAGGCTGTGCCCTGTGACACATTTGTGGGTGGGGCTGGGGTGGGGCCTGGCCTCCTGAGAAGCCATTGGCTGGCAGATGTGTGCAGCGGTCCCGCCCCCACCCTTTGACACAGCACTGCAGGGGCCAGACCCATGTTGTGCAGGAGTCTGGAGCAGGGCAACACCACAGCCCTTTCTGCATCCATAGAAAGACTGGAACCAAAGCTGGGTGCCGGTGGCTCATGCCTGTAATCTTAGCTACTCAGGAGGCTGAGATCTGAGAAGCTCAGTTCAAAGCCAGCCAGGGCAGGAAAATCCATAACACTCACCTCCAATTAACCACTAGAAAACCTGAAGTGGATCTGTGGCTCAAAGTGGTAGAGTGCTAGCCTTGACTGAAAAAGCTCAGGGACAGTGCTCAGGCCTTGAGTTCAAGATCCAAACTAGGCTGCTGCCAGAGGGCCTGGAGAAATACACTTCGGCCCATCCATGCAATAGAAGACCATGCAGCTTTATAAAAGAACAAGCCAGGTGGGTGGTGGTGGCTCACGCCTGTAATCCTAGCTACTCAAGAAGCAGAGTTCTGAGGATCACAATTTGAAGCCAGCCCAGGCAGGAAAGTCCATGAGACTCTTCTCTCCAATTAACCAGTGAAAAGCTGCAAGTAGAGGTGTGGCTCAAGGGTAGAATACCAGCCTAGAGCCAAAACCCTAAGGCACAGCCTCTATTGCCAGCACTCGGGGTTGAGTTAGGTGAATGGCCAAGTCAAAACACAAAAAAAATTTCATGGGTGGTGGAAGTGTGTGTGTATAGGTAGAGGCCAGTCATATAAAGGTATAAGAGACTTCATGTCA